AATAATTACAATACAAAGAGAGAAATTCTCTATTAGGGGTATGAGCAAAGTCTTATGGGAGGGAACATAGGGAAGAAGAAATTAGTTTAATGTGTAGAAGCATTTTACAGCAGTGAAATGATTGGGGCCTGATGTGTGAATAGGATTTTATCAAGCATTCATAAGTTGGTAGAGGACTGTAGATTGTATTTTACAAAGATGTCTGTGTGCATACCAATACACACCCCATCCCACGTGCTCTTCTATCAAATGACACTGACACTCCTCCAGGGCAAAGTGGGGGTCTATGTTCCCTCCCCTTGAACTTGGGCAGGATTTTGTCATGGCCTCGATGAACAGAATGAGTGGAACTGTCACAGCATGACTTTGAGGCCGTTCAGCTTCTGCCTGGCTCTTTCTTTCATAGGATGCTTACCCCTGGAGCCCAGCCATGCTGTGAGAAAGCCCAAACTAGTCCAGGCGGCAAGACCACATGGAGAGGCCCACGTGGGGGGAAACTGAGGCTCCCAGCCGACAGCCAGCCATCAATTGCCAGAGATGTGAGTGAAGGAACCTTCAGATGTTTCCTGCCCCCAGCCTTCAAGTTCTCCAGCTGCGGCCCAAACATACAACATGGAGCAGACAAGCCATCCCTACTGTGCCCTGTCCTAATTCCTGACCCAGAGAACTCATGAGTATAATAAATGGTTGTTTGATGTCAGTGAGTTTTAGAGTAATGTGTTACACAGCCAAAATAACGAACAAAGACATTTTAAGAGAAGAAATGACACAAGAACTATGTAGGTGTCACAGAGCATTTAAGTATTGGCAGTTATAGCCGATGAGGCCACAAAGTTGGCTGGGACCTAACCACGAAGGTCTTATATAACAGTTTACAAATATTCAATTTATCATATTGGTAGGGAAGAACTATTAAATATTTTTACACTGGGAAGTAAAATGCTAAGATCCGCATTTTAGCAAGACAACTCTGAGATGAACATGAAGAAAGACTGGAAAAGAGAAGATTTAAAATAGAAAAAGTTCCCCTAATTAAGACTGACTCTGTTGTTATTATGTGCCGTCGAGTCAGCCCCAACTCATAGCGACCCCTCCTTGGGTTTCCGAGGCAGTATCACTACGGAAGTAGGATTGCCCAACCTTCCTTCCGAGGAGTGGCTGGTGGGTTTGAACCGCCAGCTGTCTGGTTAGCAGGCAATGACTGACTCTAACAAAGTGAAATAGTGGGACCATCCTGGGGGCTATGTATTTTCTGTCTTTTTACTCTTTAAGGTTGCTCTGATGCTCATTAAATCTAGATTTCATTTGTATTAAAGCATAAGTGCTAGGGCAACATTAGCATCCAAAAAGTTTTCCTTGTTCTTCTTTCAAACTCTGGAACTGGATCAGTTGACTTAAAGTGGATTCTAAGAACACAAGAAAGCTGCTTAAAAATATAACCACTTGTACCCATTACTTGTGTGAATAATGCCATCTTTATACAAATATCACCATAATCTCCAATTTCTTCTTTTTGGGCCTATTAAAACAGCCTCATCTTTTTCACTATTGGCTTTATCAGAAAACTTTATAAATATGAATTTGTAAAATAAAATAAATCTATACTAATAAATTATATTTTATACTTTGTGTATCAGGGTTCTACATAAGATTTCAGCTGAATAAAGGGGGAAAGAGAGGACGGAGGGAGGAAGGCAGGCAGGACAGGTTACTCGAGGGGCGTGGTCCAAACAAGAAGGGGAGATGGAACTCAACACACACAGAGACACTTGTGTGTTAAGGGAAAGGATACGTGAATGAAAATAAAAGAAGAGATACAGGAGAGGATGAAAGATACTAATGAGAATGTTTCATTCTCATCTTGGCAGAAAGCCTGGCCTCCTACATTGTGAGAAAATCGAGAAGAAGAATATATTGAAAATTGAGAGTTTTTGGAGAATAGAGATAGTATGGAGAGATCCATGCTAAATCAATCAGATCCTAAAAGGATCTTGAGTAGCAGTAAAAAAAAAAAAAAAAACAACCACTGCCAGTGAGTTGATTACAACTCATAGAGACCCCCTAGGAATTCTAAGGCTATAAATCTTTACAGAAGCACACTGCCACATCTTTCTCCCGTGGAGCAGCTGGTGGGTTCAAACCATGACCTTTTGGTTAGCAGCCCCATGCCTTAACCACAGCACCACCAAAGCTCCAGTAGAGTCTGGATTTTGATAGTATAATCTATTGGAAACCAGTTTTGTATAATTTTATACTGAGTCTTTTTCTAATATTAATTATTCAAGAAATGATTAACCAATTTGTAGGACTCCATGCATATCAATTTTTCACATTTTCCCCTAAAGCCTGTTTTTGAAAAAGTATCATAATTTAAACTCTTCATCAAAAGAAAGTTAATAAAAACAAGAAAAGAAGGGACTCAATATTTCTGTTTTATCATTTGTGAAAGATATTAGTCAATACTTTTTTGAAACAATGGAAAAGACAATAAAGTAAAACAGGAAGAGAAAAACCATTGAAACAAATGGTAAAATAAGATTATAGGACCATATGTGAGTTGACTTTATTCATACTAGTCTTACTCCTCACTAAGTTAAACTGAAGCCAACTGGTACTATAGTTCACAAAATAAAATCTGATTAAAAACAATTTCTACCAGTGTTCTTTATTACTCAGGTTTCTGAGTAAACTGCCTATTCTTTAATCAACTTACCTGTGTCCCAGAGGTTAGCAACCTCTGCTTCCCCTTCTGACATCCACCTCATTGAAGAGGTAATGGGAGGAGGTACTGTTGGCAAAAGTGGCTTTGGATCATCATCATAAAATAACATCAGGTCCTGATTTAAAAAAAGAGAGAGAGAGAGAGAACATGAGAGCTGCAGAAACAAAAATTAATCTCACTGCCTGGTTACAATGGATGTGCGATTTATGGAGATTCAATGTGTGTACGTGTGCTGACCCTACCATCTCCACATTTGGATTTAAGCAAAGTGCACGTGGTTGTCTCTGCTCAGTGTCCATTAGGTACAGGGTGGTCTCCATCATGGGGAATCCACACTCTCGCTGGAGACACCTCATGCAGACAGGCAGTGACTGCATTTGGAGCATTCACTCTCCCTGAGCATCCCCGTCTTGTGCTATGTCAGCAGCCAATCATTTCGTCTTATTGGTAACAAAAAAGCAAGCTGAGTGCATCAGATTTTTAAATGTTAACTTGTTATCCTAGCGTCTAAAGGAGACATAATAGATAATCAATCTAATCACACAGGTTAACAATTATCAACTCATGGCTAATCTGGCTTCATTTATGTTCCTACCACTTTCCACCTGTTTCATTGTGAAGCAAATCCTAGCTATTGCACTTACTTCAATATGATAAGATACTCTAAACGGTAAGAATATTTGTAATAAGCAATAATTGTACCAAACCTATAAAACTTCACAATAATCTTTAATATCAATTATCATAAACTGCTCAAATTTTCAACTATTCATAAATGTCATAAACAGCTTTTTCTACAGTTTGCTTGAATGTGGGATCCAAATCCCGTGGGATTGGTTAATATGCATTATTTTCTTCTGTGAGCTGGGGATTTTTTTAAAAAATAATACTAATTAATGCTTTATTGAAATAGAATTAACATATACTAACATGTACAAACCCTAAGTGTAGTGCTCAGTAACTTTTCACATAGATACCCACGTAACCACATTTCCTTCACTCCAGAAAATTCCCTTTTCCAGTTGATACCATCCCTACATTTTGTTTATCCATTCTCCTGCAGATGAACATCGGGTTGTTTCCAGATTTTGCCTATGATGAATAAAGCTACTATGAACATTCTCACACAAATCTTTTTGTGGACAAGTTCACTCACTGCTCTATATTTACGTGAGAGGAAAGTTGCCGGGTCAGAGCACAGACTTATTTTTAACTTCACGAGAAACTGCAAAATCATTTCCAACGTGACTGTACCCCTTTTTAAAATTCAACTTTTGGAAATAATACACAGAGAGACTCTGTGTATCTTTTACCCAATTTTCCCCAAGGGTGTTACCCTTGTAAAACCACAGTACAATCACCAGCAAGGTACTGACATCAATACAGTGAAGACACACAACGTTTCCATCACCAAAAGGATCCCTCCTGTTGCCCTTTTATAGCCACACGTACCCCCTCCTCCACCCCTGGAAACTACTAATCTATTCTCCATTTCTATCCTTTGACCTTTCAGTAATGTCATATAAATGGAATCATGTAGTATGTAGCCTTTTGAGACTGGCTTCGACCCCCTCCCCCACCTGGCATAATTTCTGGAGCTTCATCCAAGTGGCTGTGTGTACAAATAGTCTGCTACTTCTTATTGGTCAGTAGTATTCATGGCATGGATGGACCACCGTTTATTCAATCCACTGGAGGACATCCAGCTTGTCTCCAGCTATCGACTATTACGAATAAACGTGTTAGGGATATTTGTGTACAGTTTTTGTATGCAACGTAAATTCTCACCTCTCTGGGATGGATGACTGACAGTGTCATTGCTGGGTCACATGGGAGTTGCATGTTGAGTTGTATAAGAAACTGCCAACTGTTCTCCAGAGCAGCTGTATCATTTTACATTTCTACCAACAATATATGAATGTTCCAGTTTCTCTGTGTCCTCATCAGCATTTGGTGATGTCACTACTCTATTTTAGAGATTCTGGTAGGTATGTAGTGGTATCTCCTTGTATGTTTCAATCACATTTTCCTAGTGGCTAATGATATTCTACTTCCATAGTGATACCACCTTGGAAACCTAGGGAGGGGTCGCTATGAGTTGGGTCCAACTCGATGGCACACAACAACAACGACATTGAACATCTCCGTGTGTGCTTACTGACTGTACATAATTTCTCTCTGGTGAATATATACCTTCATGTCCTTTGCCCAGTTTCTAACTGGACTGTTCGGATTTTCACTGTTGAATTTTGAGAGTTCTCTGTATGCTCCAGATACAAGCTCCTTGTCAGATGTGTGTCTTGTGAATATTTTCTTGCAGTCTAGTTTGTCTTTTCATCCTGTTGGTAGAGACTTTCACAGCGTATAGTTTTACATTTTGTTGTGGTTTTTAATCAATTTTCCCTTCTAAGGATATCCTTTGGTGTAAGTCTGAGAACTCTTCGCCTAGTCATCAATTTTCTGCTACATTTTCTGAAACTTTCACAGTTTTATGTTTTACATGTAAGCCCATGATCTATTTGGAGTTGGTTTTTATACATGCTTTGGGTGGAGGCTCATTGTCTTGTTATAAATGTCCAATTGCCTCAACACCATTTGTTAAAAAGATCATCCTCCATTTCACTGCAATTTCTTTTGCACTTTTGTGAAAAATCAGATGGACCTATTTGTGTGGGCCAATTTCTAGGTTTCCATTCTGTCCCACTCATCTACCTCTCTGCTGACCACAGTGTCTTGATTACTTTAACTACACAATAGGCTTTCAAATCAGGTAGAGTGATTACTCCAACTTACTTCCTCTTCAAGATTATTTTAGCTGTGGACCTTTCCTACAAACTTTAGAATAGGCTTATTATCTATGTCTATAAAATGCCATGCTTGGATTTGTATAGATTTTGCATTAAAAATATAAAGCAATTTGGAGATAAGTGACATCATTACTATGTTGAGTCTTTTAATCCAAGAATATGATCTGTCTCTCCATTTATTTAGATCTTCGTTGATTTATCAGTATTTTGTGATTTGCAGTGTACAGATCCGGTACATGTTTTGTTACATTTCTATCTAAGTATTTTACTTTTGGGGTGTGATTGTAAATGACATTATGTTTTAATTGCAGTTTCTATACATTGATTGTTATTGTTGGTGTGGTTATGTGCCATCGAGTTGGACCCAACTCAGCGACCCCTCCTTGGGTTTCCGAGGCAGTATCACTACGGAAGTAGATTGCCCAACCTTCCTTCCGAGGAGGGGCTGGTGGGTTTGAACCACCAGCCTTCTGGTTAGCAGTCAAGTGCCTTAGCCACTACGCTACATTCATTGATAGTATACAGAAATGCAACTGACTGCTGCTGATCTTGCATCCTGAAACCTTGCTGAACTCAACCAGCTTTATGGTAGGTTCCTTGATGTTAGGCTGGAGTAGGCCAAAAATGACCAAACAGGCTTTCAATTGTTATACCACCCTCTCTGGTCCTTTGGCTGGGAGGAGGGGAGCTCTGGTGGTGCAGTGGTTAAGCACTGGGCTGCTAACTGAAAGGTCAGTGGTTCAAACCCACCAGCCACTCAGCAGAAGAAAGATGTGACAGTCTGTTTCCCTAAAGATTACACCTTGGAAACCCTGTGGGGAAGTTCTTACTCTGTCCAGTAGGGTTGCTCTGAGTTGGAATCAACTCGACCACCAACAGGCTTGATTTTTTTGGTTTGGCTGGCTAGGAGAGAACAGGCTTTACTTGCAGCTTTTTATCCTTTCCTGTTGGTGGGGTCCTGAGGCTTAAGCAGCGGTCTGGGTTTGTCTCAAAGTACCTAGCCAGTCCCCTTTCTTCTTCTCACGTTTTAGAGTCCTTTTGTGTTTGTATATTATGCTCAGGGTTTTATTTTTTTTTAATTTTAACACGCGAAATTTTGATTGTCACTGAATTGTACATATTCTTAAGAGAGAGAGAGGAAGGACCTTGGGAGGAATGAGATCACTCCACATTGGAAGAACCAGAAGTCCCAACCGTGCTGTTTTAAAGTTCTACCAGAAATGTATGAGGTCCATTTCTCCACAACCTCACCAATACCTGATGTTGTCAAACTTTTTAAATGTCAGCCATTTATGTAAGTCTTTTCTGGTTTCTTGTAGCAGTGTTTTGTAGATTTATTTGTTGTTGTTATACGCCATCGAGTCAGCCCCGACTCATAGCGACCCGCCCTTAGGTTTCTGAGGCAGTATCACTATGGAAGTAGGATTGCCCAACTTTCCTTCTGAGGAGTGGCTGGTGTGTTTGAACTGCCAGCCTTCTGGTTAGCAGTCAAGTGCCTTAAGCACTATGCCACCAGAGCTCCTAGATTTCTTTGTACACATCTTTTATGTCCCTGCTTAGATTTATTCCTGAGTACTTCATTGTTTGGATAGCTATTATAAATTGTACTGCTTTCTTGGCCTCCTTTTCAGAGTTTTCTTCACTAGTGTAAAGGAATCCAAGTGATTCTTGTATGTTGATCTTGTACCCTACCACTCTGCCAGATATTTCAATTCGTTCCAGTAGTTTTTCTGCTGAGTCTTTGGAATTTTTGATGTATAGGATCTTATCAACTATAAATAGAGATGGTTTTACTTCTTCTTTCACAATCTGGATGCTTTTTACTTCCCTTTCTTGCCTTATTGTTCTGGAAAGGACTTCCAATACAATAATGAATAGGAGTGGTGATAAAGGGAATCATTGTCTAGTACCCATTCATAAGGGGAATGATTTCAGTCTTTCTCCATTGAGAATAACATTGGTCATTAGTTTAGTATATATGCCCTTAATTATGTTGAGGAATTTCCCTTCTATTCTTTTTTTTTTTT